AGAGTCTGGCCTGAGGCCAGCAGAAGCCGGCTCTTGCTCCAGGGTCCCTGAGGGAGGGAGTGGCCCTTGCTGTCCTCCAGTGGGCCCCCAGGCTACTAGGGCTTCCCCGTTAGACCCCCAGGTAAACATACCTTCATTCTGTTCCCCTCTCTACCTCACCACTGCCCCTCTGCCCTCAGGACTTCTCCATCCGACTTTACTCCACAGGCAATAACTTGTTTGCTGATTAGCACTCAGCAGCCACAGCTGATGGTGAGTTCACAGCTTACCCTGCTATCCAGCCCTCTCAAGGCTGTTTGCACATTTATAGGAGATTCCCAGAGGCATCAGCCTTTCTCAAGCTTTACTAATTTGCCAGGCACTGCGCCGGATGCTTTTACATATTTTACGTCATTTAAATCTCACAGCAATTTTGTAATTATTGTTTACTCTCATTTTTGTAGATGAGGCTACTAAAGCTCAGAGAGGTTAAGTAACTCACCCAAGGTCACACAGGTAGTAATGGGAGCTGGGATTCAAGGCCATTCCATCTGTCGGAGAGAGTACTGTTGGCAGCCTGCTTCAGTTACTGCAGGGATGTCTACCTGCCTTCTGAAAAACAAGTTATTTGTTCAGCTTTTTCTACAAAAGGGCAGCAGCACCAGCACACATTTACAGCAATGCCTTTTATAACATTCTAGCATTTTCTGTAGAGGTATTTGTGAGAGAGAAGAAGTTCACAATCTTGGGGGACACTGAAGAAGGTTCTAACCCCTTAAGGAGGATGAGTAAAGAGGATTCTGGCCCCTGAGCTCTGTGAGCAGGCGGATTTTGAAAGGATCAAAGAGGCATCTCTGCAATCAGTCCTAGCTGCTTCATTAGGTGGACCTGAGGTGCAAGGGGAGGAGGGTCCACCAGGTGGCAGCAGAGAACCAGCCAGTGGCCAGCACCAGCAAGCTGTACCTTGGTCCAAGCTCTAACCCTGGGACTGGGGCAGAGGAAGTGGCAGCACCACATCCAAACTCAAGGCATAATTTCCAAAATATATAGACAGCTCACACAACTTAATAAGGAAAAAAAATCCAAAAATGGGCAGATCTAAACAAACAACTCTCCAGTGAAGACATACAGATGGCCAGTTGGTACATGAAAAGATGTTCAATATCACTAATTATCAGAGAAATGCAAATCAAAACTACAATGAGGTATCACTTCATACCACTCAGAATGGCCATCATTCAAAAGTCCACAAACGATAAAAGGATGTGGAAAAAAGGGAACCCTCCTACACTGCCGGTGGGAATGTAGTTTGGCACAGCTGTTATGGAAAACAGTATGGTGATTCCTCGAAAGACTAAAAATAGACTTACCATATGATCCAGCAATCCCACTCCTGGGCATATATCCAGAGGGAACCTTAATTCAAAAAGACACATGCATCCCAATCATAGCAGCACTATTTACAATAGCCAAGACATGGAAACAACCTAAATGTCCATTGACAGATGACTGGATAAAGAAGCTGTGGTATATTTATACAATGGCATACTACTCAGCCATAAAAAATAACAAAATAATGCCAAGTGTAGCAACATGGATGTACCTGGAGATTGTCATTCTAAGTGAAGTAAGCCAGAAAGAGAAAGAAAAATACCATATATCATATCATTTATATGTGGAATCTAAAAAAAAAAGACTAATTTATTTACAAAACAGAAACAGAAACAGACTCACAGACATAGAAAATAAACATGGTTACCAGGGGGGGAAGAGGGTGGGAAGGGATATACCAGGAGTTTGAGATTTGCAGATACTAATATATATAAAATAGATAAACAACAAGTTTATACTGTGTAGCACAGGAAACTATTCAATATCTTGTAGTAAGTCATGGTGAAAAAGAATATGAAAACAAATGCATATATATATATATATGTTCATGTATGACTGAAGTATTATGCTGTGCACTAAAAACTGATACAACATTGTAAACTAACTATACTTCAATAAAAATGTATATACAAAAAAACTCCTCAATCCCCTCCTCCACA